CCTAAACCCTAAACCCTAAACCCTAAACCCTAAACCCTAAACCCTAAACCCTAAACCCTAAACCCTAAACCCTAAACCCTAAACCCTAAACCCTAAACCCTAAACCCTAAACCCTAAACCCTAAACCCTCAATCCTAACCCCTCAATCCTAAGCCGTCTGCAGTGGCCATCGCAGGGTGAGGTGGGTGGAGGGTGAGTGAGGACTAAGTCATCCCTTCGCCGCCTACCCGAGGACCACGATGCCGCCTCCACCCAAGGACCGTGTTGTGCCATCGTCTGCTCCCCTACTCCGTCCAAATCTAGGAGGGAGAGGAGGGGAGTGCCGCCTCCACTGTCGTCTGCGATGGCCACCGCTGACGGCTCCCCTCCTCTATTCAGATCTAGGAAGTATGGAGAGAGGGACGGAGGGGAGTAGTGTGGTTAGGCAGTGAAGGGTGAGGTGAAGGGAAGGAGAGGTGGGTGGAGGGTGAGTGAGGACTTACTGCAGTGCGGAAGGTTGCGGATGTTTAGGGTTAGGGTTTTAGGGTTTAGGGTTTAGTTAGTTTTGTACCACAAATCAATAGAGAAACTAAGAAAATGACAATAAAACTAGAGCAAATCATTTTAATCCCAGCAAGCAAATAGATGCACGGTTACATCATATAGAAGCATAAATTTATCTACCAAAAATATATGGAGAATTGGTAACCGTGCAAAATTGACTATGAGTTCTAAAACAATTACGAATCAGTCCCTAATCTCAAAGTAACCTTCAATTTTAAAGACCCTAAGGGACTCAAGTGCAAAAGTACCTAATTGTATCAGAATTTATCTAACTAGAAAAATTTAGTGAAATCCCACATTAGTCCACCGATCAAGCACTCCTTAGGTGTCAGTCAGTGAAACATCCATCAAAACTAAAGCAGGTGAGTCATACCGAGAACGATCTAGTGAGTACGACAAGTCACTAATGAGAGAAGTCGCAAACGACACTGCCAGAGTTACAGGTAAGGCATACCTCTTATCTTACGACTTATGGAACATACCGATAAGGTATACCTTCACGTATACGGATTGTCCCTGTAAATGTCGCATGGAAACCACTTCAAATTATGGAAAATATCTCTACGAGTCAAGTGATTTCCAAAGTCCTACTCAGAAGGGATAGATTTTCTATTATACAGTACCAGGTCCGATATCCCCAAACCTTTCTTGGGGATCAAGATGATCCACGATATAAAAGGGACCCCTGGGAGGAGTTCAAGGCATCTAATTCAATCGCCAACACACCCACCAAAGTTTACGAAGCCAAAGTATACGGAATCAACTCGCCAGGAGATCTCGTCGAATCCCTTGATTACGATCTCATCAGTACCATCTGTTTCGACTACTCTCTTTGTAATCTGTTCTCATCATCATCAATCTCATATAAACTAGATTAGGGCTGTCGGTGACATGGGACCGGGAGTATCATGACTAGAGGCTTGGGCAGCCGCGATCACCCACGTGGCCTGACCCCCTCGGGGGGGTCGGGCCCGAGGGTGATGTGGCTGCCCCTCCCTTTGTCTCCCCCAGGGGTCGGATCGCTCCCGTTTCAGCCCCGAGGGCCGGGGCGCCCCGACCCCCTGTGGGTTTGGCGCCACGTATATGGGTTAGGTGAGGACAGCGGGGCTCACCTAACCGCATTTATTGCGGGGTTAACGAGCGCGTCACGCCGCATGTAATGCAGCGCAGCGCGCTCGCTTATCCGGTCCGTGACCGGGCGCAGCGTGTGACCGGTCACAGACCGGTCAGATCGCGGGTTAGGTGGTGGCAGGTGGCCTGTTACACGCCTCGCCCCGTCCCGTCGGATTGATGAGAGCCTCCAGGCACTTGTCCCTAGCCGGAGACGGCGTGCCAGCTCCTGAAGATGGCACGTCGGTCCCGGTCAGATATATGCCAGGCTTCATCCCAACCATTGCAAGGAAGTCATTGTATGAAGAAGGGCAGACATGCAGCTTGCTAAACTGACGCGTGGTGGACGAGAGTGACCGGTCTGTGACTGGTCTGACGCCTGTCATGTCATAGGCAGACAACCGCGCTCCCGTTTTGCACCTCCTTCCAGCGGAGTGGAGGTAGGTATGACCCATCCCATCGGAGGGTCATTCGGACAGCAGCCATTGCAAATCTCCGCCCATTTAATGAGGGAGGACAGGGTTATCCCAATGTCAGACGAAGGTACAAGCCAAGTTTTGGTCAAAGTAGGATGGATCCCCACCCAAAAGAATGGTAGGTAGAAATAGTGTATGTGGTATCCCCTTGAGATATAAAAGGAGGACCATACCTACCAAGAGAAGAAGGAGAAAAGGAGACGAAAAAAGAGAGAGAAAAAAAAAGGAGGAGGACAACTGAGAGAACACCTAGACTCTCTAGCTCTTCTGCTCTCTGTAATTCCTTCACACTCAGATCCACCAGAACACAGGAGTAGGGTATTACGCTTCTCAGCGGCCCGAACCTGTCTACATCGCCCGTGTCTTGCGCGTTTGCTCTCTCGTGTACATTCCACAGATCGAGGGCTTAGAACCTCACTTAGCGCCCCCGGCCGAACCGGCAAAGGGGGGCCCGCGCGGTCTCCCGGTGAGGAGCCCCACGCTCCGTCAAGGGCTATTACCTGATAAGGGACCTGAACCAGTATAATCCTTGTTTTTTGTCTGCTTGATGTCGTACTACGTAGACCCTCGTTCCAACGTACCCCAATACTCTACTTATTCGGTCCGCGAGTATCACTCGTCGACAAATATGGCCATTTTTATTCTTCTTTATTTTTTCTTCCCATATTTTCTACTTGTCTTTTGATTTCTCATTGGTATAGGAAGACTTTTGATTTCCCTTTCTCTTAGAATACAATTTTTGTCTCTAGTTTGTGCTGGAGCATTTGTCCATGTCGGCTCGTTCCACTCGATTCTAGATGGCTTTGCGTTCCACATCTTCATGTTCTTTTTCTCATTTAAGTTATAATAGCTTACTGGCAAGAAGATACTTGCCCGTTCGTCCGTTCGATGCAAAAGGCTAGACACATGTCAACACAGTAATGGGCTGCCATTCCAACCAATTAGCTGAAACTAATAAAAATTAATAATGAGATCAAGGGGTAATTTGTAAAATTTATAACGAGACATGTGAGATACTCCCTTGTTTCACAATGTAAGTCATTCTAACATTTCTCATATTCATATTGATGTTAATAAATCTAATATTTACATTGTGAAACGGAGGAAGTAGTAGATTATCTGCCGCCTTCTTTTAAAATAGTATAGATTTTTCCTATAGATTTGTTGCCCAAAGAGCTCATTTGTAGAATATATCTTCTAAAGGGGCTAGAGTGTAAAAGTGGCACCCACGTGGCCGCGGCCCGCGTGCGAATGTCAAAGGCCCGGCCGTGCCGCGCGCGCGGGGGGGCGCGAGCGGCAAAACGAATAAGGTAAGGAGGCGCGCCAAAACCCACCGATTGATTCAATTCGCGCGCACTCTCCCTCTTTGTTGCTAACTGCATCCCGCGCAGAAATCTATGAAATGAAGTGAAATCCATTCCTGAGCTGGAGTAGCCTAGATCGCATCTGCTTCTAGGAGAGAAAGAGGAGCAGAGAAGAGGGGAGATCTGCATCTGCCTGCCTTGACATGGCGCCGCCGCCGCCCAGGAACACCTCTCCCCCCACCTCCGCCTCCAACAACAGCAGCAGCAGCAGCAGCAAGGCCAAGAAGAAGGCGGTCACCCCCGCCCAGGTCGCCTTCCTTGTCGAGCGCTACCTCGCCGACAACGGCTTCTCCGCCTCCCTCGCCGCCTTCCGAACCGACGCCGCCCACCTCTTCACCAAGGCCGCCCCCGTCCCCCCCAAGGGCCTCCTCCCCCTCTCCGACATCCTCCACGACTACGTCGCCCTCAAGGAGGCCCGCCTCGCCGTCGACTCTGCAATGCACGCAATGCACAACCTCGTCTCGGCATACTACCCCCATCATCCTCCTCCCCCCGCGCCGGCGCCCTCCTCACCCACGCAGTTCTTCGCCGCCTCATCACCTCCAGGTTTGCTCTGCACCCCACCTGCTCGACGATTTGTCTTGCCGCGCTCCCCGACATCTGCCAGTGCTAGGAGTAAGGAGAATACCGTTCAATTGTTGCCTAATAGAGTAGTATATATGCTTGTTGTGTTGCTGCAGCCGTCCCTGCTGGTGCTGGTGCTGTTGCTGGGTATGCTTCGCCAATCATACGCTACACGCAGACATCCTCCTCAGTTGTTGTCCACAACTCCAGCACATCAGAGGCCAACGCCATGTCCACACCAGCTCAGGCGCCAGCCGCAGCGCCTATCTCGTTCCCTGCCAAGAAGAGGAAGGCGGCGACTACAAAGTCTGCTGCAAAGTCCAAGAAAACCTGCATCGCGCCAACTATCAGCTCGCATCCAAAAGGTAAGTATCATCTTAACAAGGTTTGGACAAGAATTAGCAATAGGCTCTTGATTCCTGCTGTAACATTGCAAATATTGCTTGCTTACCACGTTCCAATCTAATCCCAGGTAAAACTGTGGCCTCTCAATTGTCGCTTGATAACTCAGAACGACATTCAGCCATGGCTAAGCTCCCTGTGCAAGGCTCATCTGTTGCAAAAAGCTTATTCAATCCTCTCCAACCTCAAGTCCATTCTTCTCCATGCACACCTCAACAAAACAATCCCATCGTTGCTTATCAAACAGAAAGGGCATCATCCTCCGTGGTTGCTAATGCTCATACCCAACAGGAGGTTGCTTCTTCTCAATGCTCAATGGTTTCTTCCAAGACTCTTATCGTCAGTCCTCTCAAAGGTGCTGCATATTATGCTGTTGAGAGAAGTTACCATGTCAGCTCCCCCTTGAAACCAAGCTCCCACAAATCATCCAAAAGGGAGCATGTCAAAGGGAAGCTGGATTTTGGTACTTGTGATGATAGGCCATGTTCAAATGAAGCGATTTGCGAAGAAGCCTCTACCTCCTCTGATGTCGAGAAGCAAGATGATTTTGACATCGACTTCACAAACCTAGACATATTTGATGGCGATTTTTCATTCTCTGAGCTTCTAGTTGACCTTGATCTTGACTCTGAAGGCGTTCATTGCCTCAACCCTCCCACCAATGCTGAAGTTCAAAGGTATGTGATAATGCTGCCTTTTGTTGTCGTGTGATGTATGTCCCTGGTGAAACTACAGATGCTAAGTGGTTCTGCCGTGTGCATCTGAATGAATACAGATTGGAGGGTGTAGCAGATCCTATGAAGGCAATGGCAGAAGATCCCACGGAGGATATCAATTCACAAGGTTCAGGGCTAACACTAATAATATCCTGCAGGCTGCAGCGTTATCATCCTATTTTTCCTAACATATGCTTTCTTTCTTGATGCCTAAATCGGCAGGAGCAGCATCAGCAGTCACTTGTGTTAGAGCTATAACTAAGAGGATAAAGATTGTTAGCCCTGGTATGAGTCTTCGCTTGGAGCTTGTGTCATGTTCGCAAACGCTCGAGAGATGTTTTTAACATGGTGTTGGTTGTTTGCTTGCAGTGAAGGGTCGTGCAGCCGCAGCTCCTTAGTTGATTGAGCACATGACAATTGACATAGGATACGAGGAGGATTCAGCATACATAACCGAAAGCAAAGGGATCGATGCGACGCTTCTAACTGACATGATCCATATATCTAGATGGCCAACCCAAGATGATGATATTTTTTTTGTTTTTTGATTGTAGTGTATTCTGCTACATTTTATCTATATGTTGCTTTGGACGGCAAGCATGTATCTTGAGTAGTTTTTAATTCGCTATGTTCATCTTTTTAAAAAAAAATTCTCACATCACTTGCTAGCTAGAAATGCCGTGGTGATGCGGTGACTGGTGTATAATTACTGGTTAATTCATTCTGTGTTGTTATTTTTGCTTTGCCCTATAGTTTTGACGTCTTTGCCTAAAACGAACTTGCTACAGTTGGTATTCATGCTCTTTAAAAAAAAAGAAATACTCTGGCCATTAAATTCGTGCTTCAAACAATTCATACTCTGACCATCAAATTCGTGCTTTAAACAATTTTGTCTTGTCCATATTATCTCTAGAGTCAATAATTTTCTATAAGGAACTACTGATCTTAATCACTTGCAAATTTTGAATTTTCCGGGCTCTAAATGAAATAAAAATGAAGTGATAAAACATTCCAAGGCCGTCAGAAAAAAATCTGCCATCTTGGTCCCTACATGTATCTACCCTCTCGATTAAGAGAAGAATGTAGTCATTCTGATGTCTAGGAAGAGGAGAGCTGCGATAGAAAACAACAAAAGCCGCCGCAGTAGTAGGCACGCCCACTACCTTCACGGAAGCAGGGGCGGAATTTTTTTTTTGCTATACATCATCTATTTTCACCATGTATGCACCCCCCTCGATACAAACTTAGACACCCGTATCAGTTTAAACTCGATCTAAAATAGAGTAAATTAAGCAAGTGGCACCACCCTCTATTTCGCTCTAGCTCCGCCGACGGAAGCCCTCCACCCGCTCATATCTAGATTGCATGCCTCCATACGCGCCGCCGTCAAGCGCATCATATATATTTGGTAATTTCAGTTCATCTATTATTTGTTTACTGGTTTTGAACTTCTGAAATTTGACTAGTTGATGAGTCCATATATTAATTTCTGAATAATAAATTCATATTTATGCAAATTTAGGGAGGACATTATGGATACATATATGGAAGAAAAGAAAAGGGCACTAACCTATATGGCTGGAGCTAAGTCTAGAGTGGCTATTAAGAAGTCTATCTGTAAAAATTGATTTTCGCAGGCGATATATAAAGTCGTACACCTATAAAAAGGTAATTGGCCTCATAAAATTGGGCATCCAGCCGGCTAAGTCCTCACTCACCCTCCACCCACCTCTCCTTCCCTTCACCTCACCCTTCACTGCCTAACCACACTACTCCCCTCCGTCCCTCTCTCCATACTTCCTAGATCCGAACAGAGGAGGGGAGCCGTCAGCGGTGGCCATCACAGGCGACAGTGGAGGCGGCACTCCCCTCCCCTCCCTCCCAGATTTGGACGGAGCAGGGAAGCCGACGACGGCACGACACTGTCCTTGGGTGGAGGCGCTGCTGTCCTTGGGTGGAGGCGGCAGCGTGGTCCTCGGGTAGACGGCGGAGGCATGGCTCCCCTCCCCTCCCTCTCCGTCCTAGATCTGACTGGAGAAGGGAGGGTGACGCCGGCGCAGCCCTCCTCCCTCTCCCTCTCAGATCCAGCCGGAGGCGGGGGATTATTTTTCACTGAGATTTTTGTCGCAGGTACTAGTGCCTACGAAAATGTAGAGGTTGCTTTGCGAAAGTGATTTTCGCAGACAGGGCCAATAGCCGTATGTAAAAATCATGTATTTTCATATGCCTTGAAGTGCAGGCGGGGTGGATGGCTGCCTAAAATCTGTTTGTCTGTTTGCAAAAATCTAATCGTCATTCTAAAGGTAGCATATGCATTTTTTGGTTTGCAAAAATGTAGCGTCAACAATTGAATTAAATTATCTTTAAATAAGTGTTGACAGAACAAAAAAAGATTTCCAAACGAAAACGCATGTAAAATCAAAGTAAAAAGGATGAGAGTTGGAAATTACTTAAAGCACTAGTACTCCAGTATATATATGCACGATCGAGCTACGTTACGTGTAGCCCTGCCTGTAGCGGCGGAAGAGGTCGTCGGTCTTGGCGGTACGGAAGGCGTAGCAGGCGAATGCGTAGACGGCGAGGAGCGCGACGGTGGCGACGAGGAGGATGAGATCAGCTCGGCGCCACTCCCTGCTGAGGTTGTGGAGAAGGCCAGCCTTGCAGGAGGAGCAGGAGTAGCAGAGCTGAGAAGGGTCGTTGCTCCAGGCGCCGCAATCCGGGTCGGCGGCGGCGCTGATGGGGCTAATCCACGAGATCGGGGTGACGAAGGTGTAGCCACACCTGGTGGGAGGCTTGCAGCACCCGGACTGCAGCGGGGTGAGCCAGGAGGCGGAGAAGAAATCCTGCGCCGTGGCGTATGTCTGGTTGACGTCGGAGCAGATGGGCGTGGCGGCCAGGCACGTCTTGATCTGCTCCCATCTGCCTGCAGGCTCGTCCACGCGGCCGCGTAGCCAGCTGCCCGAGAAATCGTCGAGCTCGTACTCGAGGAAGGCCCGGCTGGGCACGGTGTGACCACCCGACGACGCGCCGCCGGTGACGACGAAGACGAAGACAGCGAGGCAGGCGAGCGCCACCACGAGGAGGAGCATGCCGACCAAGTAGGCGAGGAGAAGCCAGGGCAGGCGCCAGAAGGCGGCGACGAAGCCGGCGAGACCGACGGCGAGGACGGCGACGCCGAGGCCGATCAGCGGCCACTGGAGCAGTTGGACGCAGGCGCTGTCCACCTGTGCGGAGAGCCAGATACCGGCGGCGATGACAGGGATGGAGAGCAGCGCAGCCACCAGGTTGATGGCCGCCAAGCCCACATAGTTGAGGGCCATCGCTCGCTTCGGATCGATCGGAATCGGATCGAACACGCGCGCCCAGGCTAGGTATAGCTAATAATAGCCTAATACTGCACTTAGATGAGTATGTACGTTGTGCTACACTGCAGCTGAGCTGATCTCGATGCTTAATCAGATCATCACAGAAGAACCACGTACAGCTAGCTTCGTTTACGTAAGCACAGCCTCCGCTCGATCCTAACCCTCTCTTCCAATAATTCCTTTCTTCCATTCATGCATCGATCCACCGTCTCCTTTTGCTTTTCTTATTTATAAGATATATATACTACAGCTGTCTGTTTCGTGTGTACGTGGACCACGGAATATATGCATCGCTAGCTATACCTTATTCTTTGCTTCTGGTGTAATTCATCCCATCGCCATATGTGCAGTGCCTGTAAAAAGGCCAAGGGATCATGCGCGCACAAGGAACGTGCATGGCACATATGCATCGATATCGTATTTAAATTTTAGGGCTTAATTAATTTTTTTTAGAAAAAAATGAAAATATATGTTTTTTCGACCAAATTCACAAGAAAATACTGGTTTGGAGGAGATTTACAGAAATATACCGTCGTCGCTATTTTGATGAGCAAGAGCGTCGCTATTTCGAAGATCTTATTTTGAATAATCCAAATAAAAGGAGGAGACAATTTATGTCATGTTTTGCGAAATTTTGATTTCGTCTAGTGCTTACTTTATGTTTAGGACCAAGACAATTTCTGTCATACCTTAGTAAATAACTTCTAGAAATTTCATTTTAATTTTCATGTTCCGACACTCTATTTTGTTGAAAAATTGGTTTTAAAAAGTTAATTTTCATGGTTGGGAATTTCTAATTGTTTTTGCTCTTTAATGTTGTCCTAAATTTTGAAACTATCATGTAGATAATAATTAATGACACATTTTGTCAATCTAGATTTTGCTGTGTAGTAATAAGTTAATAACTAGCATGCCTCAATATTGCCTAATGTCACCATTGTTGCTGCCCTAGAGATTACTTGTGGTCGTCGTATCCCTCGATCTCACCTGACGCCATCGCTGTTGCAGTGGCGGAGTCAAGATAAAATTATAGTGGGGGCTCCTCAGTCTTTTGGGCCTTCTAACAATCTTAGACAAAATTTATTTTAGCCCCCTTCAAGATATTTGGATTTAAATTTTAGGGGGGGTCTTAATGGGGGCTCTAATGATTCATTAGAGGATAGGGGGGTCTAAAGACCCCCCCAGCCCCCACGCTGCCTCCACCACTGCTGTTATTGTTGCTCTTGAGCTCATTTGTGATTGCCATCCCCCTCGATCTCACTGAATGCCACTGCCCTCGAGCTCACTTGTGGTCACCACCTTCTTCGATGTCGCCCAATGCCACCGCTATCACCGCCTCAATCCATCTGCACCATGCTATGCATGTCGGCACACATATGTAGTGTTTTCTCCCGTGATGATGATAGAGTGGATGAAATTCAAGCTTCAAGGAGAATTGCTCAACTGCCACATGGATAAGGGAGGATGAAGTGGCCATGCACACTTCTTTTAGATCATACTGTAGATTTGATACGATGATCGAACAGGGCTCGGATTTGACATTGTATTATTGACAATATAGTTGTATTTGATATATAATTATTGTTTCTGTATCTATAATAAATTGTGGTATTCTTATAGAATTATACTAGAAAAAATGCTCGTGCGTTGTAACGGGTGAAGGTTATTTTAATATTATTATTGTTATACAGTTTAGTTAAGGTGAAATTCAATATAAGAATTCACTTGGATATATATTTTTCTAGAAAATCATGAACTGCAATTAGGAGTTCGATCATCTCAAGTTAGCATGCAAATTTTTTTAAAGAAATTTCTTATACGACTCCTTCTGTATTTCTTAAAGAAATTTCTAAAAGTGAACGAATTTAAAACCCAACTCAAATACGTATATGTATTTCCAAAAGCGAACGAACTTAAAAACAACTTATACACGGATGACGTACCAAAGTACCGATAAAAACATATTCAATTTTTATAATAGTAGAGATTGGAGAGCCTACATTATTATAATATGGACTAACACGGTCTAACATTGTAATATATTTTTCTATTTTCTCTGATTAATGTGGTTATTTTCTAGGCCTCCAAAGTAAATGTGGTGATAGTTTCTCTATATTATTTCTTTGTCTTTGAATTGGTTATTATATTTTTGACCTAAAACAACAGATGTTGTACATCTTTGTTTTTTTTACTTTTTGTTTAACATGCCAAAATTTTATCATTTGAATTAAGTCATCAGTAAAAATAAATACAAATATATAGTCAGATACATTATTCAAGCTTATAGTGCCTCGTAGGCGCCATGTTAGCTAAAACCGTCCTCCATATATACTACCTTGGGATATTATTTGCACTGATTTTAGGAGATGCGTTGTACTCTATTTTACGGTTGAGGGGCATGATTCGAACTCAACCCTTACATGAGAAACCCAAATTGAACTTTTTACCTGTCAAATATAGCATGTCCTTAGGCCCTTGGCCTTCACTTCAACTATATAGTGTTTTATTATTTTACTCAATATACTATATGTGATGTGAGAAACATAAAATAAATGATAATGTTATTATTTTATCTTGGCATGTGTTGTTAGGGAGTATAAATGCTTTTTAAATAAAAATAGAAGCATAAAAAGTTTATTAGAAAACTGACTTAAGCGAAATTAAGCAAAGCAGCAGTTATTGAAGATGAGCAGCTTAGCATAACCAAATGAAACAACTTCATTTTACTCCCAAAACTATTTCATTGGTTCGCTTAACCCACTAAACTATTTTTTTATCATTTTACCCCTAAACTAAACTTTTGTATTTCTTTTTCTTTGTTTCTCTTTATACGAGTAGTATTTAAGCTAAAATTTTGTAGAGCCATAGATGACACCATTATCATTCCAAAATATTTTCAAATTTTTTCATGACTAAATGCTTGAAATTTCAAACCTCAAAGTAAATCAGTCTCAGAGCTTCCAATCTAGTAAACGGTGATTAGAAAAATTATAAACAAAGTTGAGAGGCAAGTTATACTGTATATATCAATCCTACCAAATTTCATTGCAAAATGATACAGCCCCCATCCCAAAATATAAGGAATTCTTTACAAAGCAGATCAATCCGGTCAAAATCTCTTATATTTTAGGGCATATGGAGTACTTATAGAGGGAGAGAAAAAAGAGAAATACCTTTAAGGGGTTACGTGTTTGATTTTCAATAGTTCAATATGTAAAATGAGAAAAAAAAAGGTCCATAGGGTTCTAAAACAGTTGGACATGTATGAAGATGTAAAATGAGAAAAAAAATAAATGTTAAGTGAAGCAATAAAATAGTTTAATGGTGTAAAATAACAAAATTAACAATAGCACGCGCAACGAAGGGTGTTGATGGAGGGAAGGATGAAATCTGCGCGTGATCCGTATTTCTTATCAACTGGTTGACGCGGCAAGCGGTGATTGGGCGTGGAAATCCCTGCCATCCGTGGGCGCCCAGTCGCCTCGCGCCACGCCGCTTTCGTCCCGCAACCGTCCACTAGCCAGCCAGTCCATGCAATTGCCTCCCGGCCTCTCTCCTCATCAGCTCAGCTAGACAAATACACCTTCGCTAGCTGCTGGCTGCTTCTGCTTCTAATTTTTTTTATATAAAAAAATGGATTACTAGTAAAAGAAATCCAGCATCCAATGGTGGGTAGAGTAGAGAAATATAAGTCTAGTAAACCGAGGGAAGAGAAAGAGAAGGGGAGAGTTGCAGAGCAAAACCGGCGGCCACTAGAAAACTAATGGCGGAAACCCATTAATCAAAATCAAATGGCGCATGAGTCTCCTCCTCCTCCTATGCTAGGAGTACATTTCTACTAGCGTAGGACAACAAGATAGACAGAGTATACTTCTAATAGGAGTAGGAGTAGGAGTATTAAAACAAAAATCGATCTTCCGTCCTCCTAGTTTAGTTGTCTCTCCTCTTGGCTCTGCTTTAATTTGTCTCTCCTCTTGCCCCTCTTTGATCCGCTTGGCACTCTCTCCTCCTGCTGCTGTAGAATCGAGATCGAGAGAGAGAGAGAGATTGAAAAGGCAGCCAGGGATCTTGTGAATTAATGGAGCTGGCCCCTTTTGCGGCGGCCTCCTCCTCCTCCTCCTCTTCCACAGTCACAAACACGTGCAAGCTCAGGCTCAGGCTCAGCTACACCCACTGTTCCATCGGCTTCGCCCCCCGAGTTCGCAGATGGATCCGAGCGGCAGCTGAGGGCCGAGGCGGCGACCAACGGAGGAGCGGCCGCTTGGCTGCAGATGGCCCCAGAGTCGTGGAGGTCGCTGCCCCACCTGCCGCCCCCGTCGTCACCGGCGGAGGCGGAGGAGGCGGGGGCTTCGCAGCCCGGGACGCGGAGCTGGCCATGTGGGAGAGGCTGGGAGCGGTTGTCAGGCTCAGCTATGGCATTGGTACTAACGACTCCTGTTATTTCATCTACTTTTAGTATTTAAATTAATTCCATTTTAGTAATAATCGATGCTACTATGCAACAATTAAGTAATAATAGAATAATAATCTGATGGGTGCAGGGATTTATGCCGCCATGGCACTTACTGGGAGATTCATATGCCAGATGGCCGGAATAGACTGCACAGGGGGCTTCCATCCATCTCTCTCTGCGCTTGTTGAGGGACTCGGATATGCAGCTCCGCCGATTATGGCTTTGCTCTTTATCCTCGACGTACGTATTTATATATAAATATTTACTAATTACTTGCTCTCTTCTCTTCGATTTGATTAATCTCTGCCTGCAGGATGAAGTTGTCAAATATTCACCTCATGCTCGCGCCATCAGGGATGTCGAGGATGAGGAGCTTCGCAGCTTCTTCTATGGCATGTCACCATGGCAGGTGTGTTCTTTTCATTCAATCTCTCTTTCTTTTCCCTCATACCAACACTACTTCTAATATTCACTCCAAATTATTCTAAGAACCAAATGCATTTTTCACATCATTATTTTAGGCTGTGTGCGGTCGATCATGCTGTTTTAATTTCACTAAAATTAATACAGTTGCAATTACTTTAACTGCTGGACTCCAAAGAGGATATATTTAATAGCTCTAGAATGCTTCTCACCCCCATCTCATGTCCCTTAAAGTACTACTCCAAACACGAAAGCACGATTTAAAAGCAAGGTCAAAATGAGCCTCTCTCTCAGTACTCAACTCTCAAGGACCAGAAATTATCAGTCCTAGATTACAATGGTTTGAATCGAGACAGAGTCTGTCTCAAACAGTTTAGGCATAACGGAAGCTCGTATTACAAATTAAGAGCCTTGTCAACATGATCCAGCCATAACTAAAAGTTTGGAATAAAACCCCCTAATCAAATAATAGGAAA